AGAACCTTTCTGTAGTTAAATTTTGTCTAATACTTTGTATTTTACACTGAATTAAAAACCACCCTCTTTTATTTTTATATTTGTGTTGATGATGTAGAACCTGTCATTGCTTCAAATACTGAATAGCCTTGATGTGATGTATTGAATATTCTGAAACTGCATATTGATGCAATCAGCAAAATGTGCCGTTTAGGAACCAACAGGAAATGCTTTCTAACTTTCAACTTATATTGGAGAGAAACACTTTGCATAATATCTGCATCCCTTAGCTAGAATTGAGATGAAAGGATCATTTTTAGATGAAAGGCATGTAGACAAATGGGATGCAGGAAGGCAGCATCTGGTATACACTGTGTCATTACCACACATGCTTAGGCTGTACAGTGAGTTAATAGAAAAGTTGTGTGTGCAAGATGTTCTTTGGGCGATAGAAACATTTATTAAATTAAACTTGAGGAACCTTTTGCATTTGCATTTGAATATGGTGTTTTAATCTTAAGGTATTATGATAACACTTCATCATAACTTGTTAAAGTCTGTCTCAGCTGAGGTATAATTGAAGCAGATACCTGTCGAGTCTCCCCCAGTTAACTTTCTCTGTTTCCTCCTTTATTCACGAAAAGCAGCTGGAAGCAATTTCCTTTAGAGCTGTTGAATGAGACAAGTGAGATAATTACATTTGTGCACATGTTGACTGTGTTGTGGCACAAAGGAAATTAAATGAAGGACATTTTTTTGGGTCTAAAATCACAAGTATAAGAGATATTTTTAAAACTATTTATGCTTCATACTCTCAGTAAAATATTCCTGATAAGTATTAAGAGGAGGCCAGGCACAAGAGTTTAGCTTATTTTAATGTATTCGTCACACCGACTCTTCGTGGCACCTCAGGCGGTCACGCATGTCTGCCTGATACGTGGGCAAGACCTAAAACTATTAAAACAGTTTGAGAGAGGAATGGTGGATGAGGGCGGGGAGAAATGTCTGCACTCTGATAATTAAGCTGCCTAATTTCTATGCCTGGTAAGGTCTTTATTCATTATGTCATTATGTTCTGTGCCATCAGCAATCAGTGGAGCTTATTATTGAGAATGTATTGGAAGGAAGAATATTCTTGCTCAGGGTCTCTCTATACATAATACTGCACTTAACCAGAACTACCTGTGCACTTGTGTTTGTGACTCTTGATTCATATACAGTACAGGGTCATTTATATTACCAATGTGTGTATGTGCGTGTAAGAGTAATGTGTGTGTATGTTTACCAATCCATCTGCTGTTGAGCTAGAGGCAATTGTTGTCCCTGGAGGCTGGCGGCAGCTGCTGTATGAATGAACGTGTGTGTGTGTGTTTGTGTGTGAAAGCCTCTGGGAAAGACAGAGCCAGCATGTCCAGCCGACACACCAGCTGAAGAGCAGCTATTACACACACAGTCTTACAGGTCAATCAGCTACCTACAGATCAGTTCGTATAGTGTCACTGCAGTGAAGTATCAGGTCCTTATCTTTTCTTCTTCCCACTGTCATCACTCTTGACGTCAATGTTAGCTTTAGTCTATGCACAGGAGCCCAATCCAGGGATATAAACTGATTTGTTTTCTTTAAAATCTTGTAAATCTCTGGCTGTCGATTTAGAAAGTCTCCAAAAATTTAATGATTGAGTGGTGACATAATTTACTTGCCATTTAAGGAACTTTTGGTTGAAGGGATGTGATAGATGGTGTCCTTTTCATGTTTACCTGTTTGAATCTGCTCAGTAGATGTTCCTTATTTTTATATTCTTTTCTCAGCTTTTAGTTCTAAAATCTTTTTCATAATTTACTGTGGTTATTGAATATTCTGCAAGTTAAGGCCTCGGGGCCATCCTGCCCCAATCCAGTCTAACGTACAGTATTGGCTCGTTACTCTGCAGGACTTAAAACACTGATGTTTGCAGATAACCTTCGTCCACTTCTTTCTGCTAATGCAGCAATCTGCCCTGTGCTGATTATCCTGTTATCCAGCAGCAGAGTACACACACACACACACACACACACACACATGCAGGACACAAACACACACACAAGCCTGCAAACGCACACAGCACAACACTCAATACTTGCAATGTCTTAGAATTTTTTTTAACGACATAAAACTGCCCAACAAACAAGTAGAGACTGAATATCTGCAGTACGGTACTTAAGTTTCTTATCTGAGGAAAGTCTGTAAGTATTTCTGACAGTTCTTACTGTTCAGGTGAGAAACAATTCAGGCATAAAAGGTTTAAACCTTTATATATCATCTGCCCTCAGTAAGTCCTCAGCAACTCATACTTTAAGAAAATTTGCACACAACTAAGTCGATTTAACCAGGTGCTGCAACATGCTGCCTCTTCATTCTTGTTAGCAGCCAGGATATTTACTATTTATTATTTTACACAAATTACATTAGAGGAATGGGATTTATATATTTACAATTAACTGGGTACACTGGGGGTCAGTTGTCCACATGCTGAAGTATTATGATTTCCAATGGTATACATAGACTTTCAGTGACAAAGGGACATATCACTTTACATGTAAATAGACTTGTTCTTGTGTTTTTCTGCTGTATTTGTGTGTAGAAAATAGTAAAACAATATTTTGTATTCCTGAGGGTGCAAGCTGTCACCAAAACATAAAGAAGAGCCTATATTCTGCAGAGACCCCCAATACAAATACTGTTACGTCTGAATTTAAAAAAATGCTATAGTGGACATTTTAACTGTAAAAGACCAGTCCAGTCTGTGAGCTTGTGTCACCATACAGAGATGTGGATACCAGGAAGACTTAGTGACATTTAGTTAATGCTATTACAATGTGGTAATTATCATTGGCATGAGAAGATGCAGACCTTGAATAGAAACAGAATGCAGATGTGCTGTTTCTGTCATTTTAAGTCTGCATCTAGAGCCGCGGATTCTCACACTGACACTGAAGTGAGTTAGTTTCACATTTAAACATAATTTAAACAAATATTTGCATTTAAATGAACAGTATCGACCACAGATTTCTATCTCAGTGAGCAATATGCGTCAAATGACTCCTTGTGGTGCAGAGAACCATCAATATCGGCCCTTCGGCCAAATCCGCTGCTGTCACACTCCCAGTGAAGGCAGATACATGCGGCTCACAGCAAAGGATTAAAACGTGACTGAAAGTCTTTACATAAATTACACACACAACCTGCATTTAACTTTTGGAAGACCAAAGGTGCAGAGAAGCTTTATTCTGCTTTATTTCTGATCATGCTGAAAGTCAGTGTAGCGTATACTGTCACAGCTGTTCCGAGCACTGAAGGCCGGACATGTTTGCCATTTTGCACAAGTCATACACATGGATGACTCTCCGTCTTTGTCTCTGTGTCCTTGTGTCTGTCTTTCTCACACTAAATAACAGGCACGCACTCGCAGGTGGAGCAGGAACAGTCCTGCAGCGGCGTGCTGCTCTATTTTAAGTCTACACATGTATACCCCTTACCTTCACCTGCCTTCCACTCTGCTTTCATGAGCTGTCTCCTCAATCATCTCATTCAAAGACATTTATTTTTTTCTCTCCCTAAGGAAACACAAATTTAACTCTGTGCCTGTGTCTCAGTGTCTACATACCACTGTTCTCTCCCTGCAGTTGTTTCACTAATTTGTTGGTTGCTGTGGTAACGTGCTGTGGGCCCTAAAGACACACTTTGGAGTCTCATTTGACATGTGGATAAAAACACAGAACAACTTTTTATATATTTTAAATGCAGTGGAATAGTTTTATCTTACATCACCTGAATTAAAGCCTACTGTCATAGGTGCCATTTCCCCCAGATGTTCTAACCCAGCTGGGGCCAGCTTCAATCTATCTCTGTACCTTTAGTTGCCCTGGGTGGCTCTCTTGTGCTCGGAAACAAGTGTGTTTAAAGTAATTGGCTTCTCCACGCAGGCAGCATGCACATCCACTGCATTGTGGCATAAATACCAGGGAGCCCGGTGATGTGCAGGCTTTCCTCGCTCATTACAAAGAGCTGACAGTGCAGCCCTAAAGCCCTAGTCTTCCTCCGCAGTGCCCATGCTGGATCGACACCAGAAGATAAAAGTACAGCACACCAGTCTCTCAGAGGCATTGAAAAACAGCCATACTGCTCTCTAGATCCTCCGGCCCCGGGACACCGCGCTCTCTAACTGCAGTAATGCACTAATGATGCTCAATGGGAGGTCCTCACAGTTTTTAGAAGATGCCTGTATGGTACTAAGATAATAATAATCAGCACTCATACTATGACTCTTGCTCTTTAAAAATACACATTCCTGAAGGCTTTGCAACTGTGAAACTTATCAACCCATAATATGATGTCTAATGTTGAGGTCATTTGTACAGGAGCTTAATGAAGCACCACTGAAAAGATTAAAAGCTGGTTTAAATATTACTGGAAAAATACAACAATGAATTATACAACACTGTTTCCTAAATCAATGGTTAGCAATCATGGTTTAAGCCTGTATGTGTAGTCACACACACTGATGTACATCCCGTTCCGTTTCAGCTCTGCAGTGAAGACGAGTGTGAAATCACCTGTTTCAGTCTCTTATGATTAGTGAGCTCATGTGTGCGTATTATCTAGAGCGCAAATCCCCCATCCTTTGGCGTTGTTTATCATAGCAGCTGAGTTATAACACATGCAAACATACATTCAACATACCCATGCACACACACCCAAACACACACACACACACACACACTAAAGCATACACAGAATCTTACCTAAAAACGTTTTTTTTCTGATGCTCGGAAATGGTTTTAGGGTACAAAGTGAAAACAACATCCAATCGCCAGTTAGATTATGTTGAACCAAGACTTCACAAATCCTACAAATAGTCAGAATCATATGCTATGATATTTTCTGAATATCTGTGCATTTGCTCCTTGTTAACTGACCTTCTCTGTCTCCTTTTCACCCCCTCCCCTTCCTGCCCTTTCCTTCTCCTTCTGTCTCTCTGCAGGATCCTGCTGACAGTGGTGGTGATTTTCCGTATCCTAATAGTAGGCATAGTGGGAGAAAAAGTGTATGAGGATGAGCAAATCATGTTCATCTGTAATACCATGCAGCCCGGCTGCAACCAGGCTTGTTATGACAAGGCCTTCCCCATCTCGCACATCCGCTACTGGGTCTTTCAGATCATCTTGGTGTGCACGCCGAGTCTGTGCTTCATCACATATTCTGTTCACCAGTCGGCTAAAGCACGTGACCGAAGCTACTCTCTCCTGCATCCTTACATGGATCACCATGGTCATGGTCACCATGGTCGGCATGGTCATGACCATCACGCTCGCAAGCTCCACTCTCGCAACATCAATGGCATCCTGGTGCACCCTGACAGCAGTAAGGAGGATCATGAGTGCCTGGAGGTCAAGGAGATCCCCAACGGACCCCGAGGACTTCCTCAAACACACAAGAGTGCCAAAGTGCGACGACAGGAGGGCATCTCCCGTTTCTATGTCATCCAGGTGGTGTTCCGCAACGCGCTGGAGATTGGCTTCTTGGCCGGTCAATACTTCCTGTACGGCTTCAATGTGCCAGGAATGTTTGAGTGTGATCGCTACCCATGTGTGAAGGAGGTGGAGTGTTACGTGTCCCGTCCAACAGAAAAGACCGTGTTTCTGGTCTTTATGTTTGCAGTGAGTGGCATATGTGTGCTGCTCAACCTGGCTGAGCTCAACCACCTTGGCTGGAGGAAGATAAAGACGGCCATGCGAGGGGTGCAGGCACGAAGGAAGTCCATCTGTGAAGTGCGCAAGAAGGATGTTTCACACCTGTCCCAGGCCCCAAACCTGGGCAGGACCCAGTCTAGTGAGTCAGCCTACGTCTGACAGAGGCTTCTCTGCCTGGGGGCTCGAGGACCTCTTAAATTTTGGAGAAGAGCTTTTCCCTGGCCCACGACCCCTACCATTAGGGCACAAAACTCACTATTGCATTATTATTCAGGAGCACAGACAGACTCTGTGTAATCATGATAAAGCATCAGTTCACAAAGTAGAGTCTTTGACACTTCTAGAGACAAGAATCACCTTCTTAAAAAGGCAACTGTGTTGCTGCAACAAAGCTTTACACCTAAAGCTTACACGATGAAGAGTTCTGCTCTGCCTAGGTGACACTAGATGCCTTCAAAGAACCCAACAGATAAAACTGAGCAAATACTAGTAATATTAAAATACTGTAAAGATAGTCTGAGGTTGAATTATCTGAAATTCTTCATTATTTGCCTTTGCTGTAGGTCAGAAATAATCCCCTTATTTTCCAATTATGTCTGCATTATGCAAGAGCTTAAGCGTGTGCATGCATACGCATGTGTGTGGGGAAAAAAAGCCAATCTCTGACTTGATTCAGAAAATTGAATGCTAAGCTAATCTGAGCTACTGAGAGAAAGATAATGTTATTTCTCATGGTCCATAATCATCGAGCAAAGTCACTTGGCGAACAAACAAGCACCTTTTTAAACATATTTTAAGAAATATACACAAAATCACATAAAACCAACAGCAGTAAAGCTATCTACATAAACTGGGACACAGTGTCAGTGTACCAGGCTTTTTCTTAAACACTGTCACAATTCTTCATATTCTTGCATTAGGTGCCAATCAGACTGTAGGCTGACATTGCCTGGGAGCTTTTGTTCAAAGAGAGACACATGGTGCATTGAAGATGAGTTAGATTTACTTTTCAACACTGTGTTACGCACCACAATGCTCCCAGTGCCTGCAAGGCATGCTGTTTACTCTCAGAAGCCACTGAAAACAGTCAAGAAAAGTGTGCCAGTGTTTCCACTTTGGCTTCTAAAGTGTGATCGCAGTGTAAGGTGCTGAATGGAGTTATATAAAGATTTTTTCAAATAAACAGGAAAAAGTATTGTTGTCACAAATATTTTAACATGTAACCTCAAGCTTTTTTTCACAAGCAGATTTGGTGCCATATTTAAAGTTACTGTACATAGATGAGATGTAATAATTACACTTAGCCTTTTCCCTATGCCGTATAGATGGGCCTCACTTGGATGGGGGAACATGGGGTGGGTGGTAATGAAGATTAATCATAGATTGCCAGCTTTAACAATATGTATTATAAATGTGCTCTTTGTTAAGCCTTCACCCTCTAATGGAGACTGTATGTTCCAAAAAGTGTTTCCCCACTATGGACTTTGAAAAAGGCATGTTACTGAAGCATTAATAGAATGGATAGATTATGACATGTAACTTAAAAAGAGACTGTTTTATTTATTTGCATCCTGCTCCTGTGAAATGTAATACTTAGCATGCATGAAGATGACAAATATAAAGAGATATGAACATAGAATCCCATTGTGGGAATATTGAAAGTGAATACCTGAAAGGCTCCAGAACTGCAGCAATAATAATATATAGTATGTGAAAAAAAAAAGTGTGAATAAATTATTATGCAAACAGTGATTTTGGCTGTGCTGTGTGTAACAAAGACGTGACAATTACTATGCGCCATTTTTTGTGCTTTTATCAGGATGTTGAGAGGTAAGTGTTAAATAATAAGTAATTACACAAACTAAAGAAGCCCTATCACTGTGAATGGAATATTATAATTTAACTGAATACTGATACATTCACACTTATTAGCATTTTATTGTTTTAGCTGTTTGACTAATTGTATCCACTTTACATACAGTTGGGTAGTTCAAGCTATAAAAATGCATCACATTTTAGACGTTCATCTTTTTTTTGTATAATATTTTTATATATGCGAAGTAACTAGTGGAGTTAGAAGTATAAAGTATCAGCAAATTCAAATACTCAAGTTCAAGTACCTTAAAAGTGTAAATACAGTACTTGAGTAAACACTTCCTCACTTTTCACCACTGGCAGTGTACATGGCAGTGTGCTGCAACATAAAATATACAGTAGCTTTTCGTGCTGTATAGAATACATAGGTATATACAACACAGACTACAGAGCACAGTGCAGAGCTTACAACTGCACAGATTTAAATCCTGCTTTAATATTTATTATTCAACACTGAGAAATGATACATCTCTGAGAGATAAGTGCAGGCTCTGACTTTCTGTTGATGAATTATAGATGTTTAACCTGTTCATTTCCATGTCATAAAATTCCTGACTAAAGTAAATGTATCATGAATATGCTACAACTTTTTCTCATTCATTTACACTGAAAGCTCCAGTGTTTTTGCCGAGCAGTAAAATATGTCTGACACTCACACTGTTGTTTCTCAGGCTCAACGTGACTCGTAGGCAGGTAAGTTATTAGAGCGGACCTGATAATTCCAGTAATGAGTGAGGTTACTGAGGGAAATGTGTGGGGGCGGTGAACCTTTTAGTGTTATTAAACCTTCAGTCAGTGCTGGCTGTGTCCTGGGGAACACTGATAGCATAGTGGGACTAGAGGAAGAGGGACGGGGTGATGGAGAGGTGTGTTAATAAAGTTGATTGTCTGATAGGATGTAGAGTAATGAATTTTGTGGTTATTCATTCACTTAAAGGCCACACTGTGTTCTTATTGGCGTGTGGGCAGCCGTGATTGACTCCCGGTGCTGTGTGTGAGATATACATTCACATCAACCACAACCAACACACACGCACACACATGCACAGATCGTCAATAAATGCCTAAACAAAGCATTTCTGAGGATGTAGCCAGGCCGGTTGCTGTGGTGACAGGAGGGCAGTAATGATGTTAAGCACCACAGAGAGTACAGTAGTGAAGGGCAGAAACAGCACTGCACCATCTCTCCTGCTGTCGCTCCACAGCAGCACTTCGACCTACAGGACACACTCAACGTACAGAAAGTTAGAAACATGCTGCATTGTGCTTTATGCCGTAGCGCTGCAGCTGCAGTACACTATGAGCTAAATAACAGTAATTACCTGCTAAAGATATCTTACAGGTATGATGACGACTCACAATAATCTGGTTTAAAGACCAGATAATAGAGCAGAAACCATAGGTGTAGTATGAAGTTTTAACATTTGAATTTAATTAATGATAAACCTATTACACATAACTTATAATGAAAACATTACTTTAAGATCACTGCCTATTATTAGAGTCAAGTTTTACACAATCAGATTACTTTATTTAAAGTGTATAAATTCTTTATTTTTAACATTATGAAATTAAAAATAGTAAACATAATTTAAAGGACCAGTGTGAAGGACTGTGGCATCTAGCAGTGTAGCTGCAGATTGCCTCTCCCTCATTTTACCCTCCCCTTACAAGCACGAAGGAGAAACTACAATGGCTAAAAACACATAAAAACCATGTAATGGCCATCTTAGAAGCCGCGTTTTTTTGTCCGTTCATGGGCTACTGTAGAAACATGGCTGTTCAACATGGGGGACTGCATGGAAGGCGACTTGCGGCGTCTGTAAATAAAAACGACTTATTCTCAGGTAATGAAAACATCCTGTCACTGGACCTTTAATACAGTGGAAAAATGTTCACATTTCATACAATTAGAGAAGCTTTAATACAGACCTATATTCACATTCAATTTATGCACACTGCCTAAGAGGAGATGTGTCTATATGTTCAGATTATAGTTGTCACAGAGTTGTCACCCACAGACACCCACATTTCTGCACTCAGTACACTCCATTAAATATGGACTTTCTACCTGCTTACTCATGTATGAAAGCATGCAAATAGACGGTTAACCGCCCCATGTAATTATGGGGATGGTTAGAGGCACTGTAGGTTTATGGATATATTTTTCTGACGGGCTACTGCGAATGAGAAAATGAACGGATGAACATAATGTAACAAGCCCCCCCCCAGAAACACATACCGACCTGCTGTGTAAACTATTTTAAAACAGGGGAGTGTCTACTGTCCAGTAGGATATGGATGGTCAAGCTACCCAACAGATGAGCCATATGCTGACTTCAGATCAAATGATTTCCACTGCAGTGGATCAGGGAATATGTTTAACCCATTTATAAGCATTTTAAATCATTCTTTATAGAGTTTCCCCCTGTGCTATACTTCAGTGTTTGATGTGCCTTTCTCTTTTTAGATGTTCTTTTCTGCTCTCCATAAAATGACTTAACTGAAAACTTAAATCTGTTTATGTGTTGGTATGCAGGGCATTTACACCCAATGACACTGCAACTCATTCTCTCTCTCTTTTTTGCTGCAGTTTTTGCAAGGATATTGAAGTTTGACAGTAATGCTGACTTTTATGGACTGTCCTCATTACTCAGCAACTCACTGTTTTCTCTTTTCTCAGCTTAAAACATCAAAACCTTAAACATCAGTAAAACCAAATAAACACAGCTTAATATGTATCTATCCATTAATGAGATGTATGAAATAACTCACAACCATCAAATATTTACCTCCCCAAATAGAAAAAAAAAGAAAAGTGAACAGAAATAACAGTCTGACAATAAACAGCCGGTCACTTCCAGGTTGCTATTAAAACTTTATGCTGTGGCGATCATGTAGTGTATTTGAAAGCACTCTCATGTTCTCCCTTGTTCTCCGCACTTAGCTGAGCTCCTTGACTCCAGTCATTCACTATCCAAAGTGCTGGCCTGCAATATTATGACTCAGAATCTCAATCCCTTTCCCCTTATCTGCACATGGGGTCTGAGACGACTGACTTCACCTCATCAGTTTCACCTTCATCTCTCCTTAGTTTGCAGATCTTGGTCAAATCAGGCAGCTTTCATTTTCCAATTCAACTGTGACATTTTCATTCATCTCATGTTTGTTCATGATGAGGAGTCCCTGAAAAATAAGTCAGTAAATCATCATGCTCGAAATCTCGTGTTTTTGCTTGGGTTATGGATACCTTTCCAAACATGATGAAGATCTGCAGAAACGTGTAATTCTAGTAATCTTACTATATCAGTGTCTGCATAATTCAGAGAAATTCAACAAATTAATTTGACTGACACATTTTTTATTATCAATAGAGTGAGGTGATATGACATGTGGATTATTTCATTAGTTTGCTCTCTCAGATACAGTATCTGTACCGGTGCAGGTTTCTGTCATAGTCTATTTTAGGACATTGTTTTGTCATTCTGAGCAACCAGATGTGATTTTTGTTTTGGTAACTTGTGTCTGAGCCAGGAGCATCATCAAACATTTCTACTAAACTGACTCAATTGTAGTTATTACTATAAACATCAGATTTGTGCTCTTATGTTCATGGCTACACAAATTGAATCTTTGTGCGAGTCTTTCAGTTTGACCTGACTCTTTTTCTGACCTTTACCCCCCTGCTGTAAATAGATCTAATTTAGAAAAATACATAAGTATTATTTTTCCTCTGTGAGGATGAACCAGTGTTACCAGATTGACTGGCATTTACTGTCTATTCACAAGGATTCACCCTTGCCTCCTCATTAAATTTTCATCTGCTCTATGACCTATACTCTCCACAGCTGATTCATTATTATCCCAGTAATAAGACAGCCCTAGGAGAAGAATCATTTAATTATTCTTCTCCGTGTTCCTTGGATATTTCCCTCCCTGCCTCTTCACTCATTCATAAAGATGAAATTGGAGTTGCTTATTCCTCTCTGGAGCCTGCTCCACTTCTAGCCTCTTAATGTCTCAGGCCATCAATTTGTGTCAGTCTCCATTCTGCTTTCCTGCAAGTGACTTGGTCTCCTTACGTGATAGCCCTGTTTGGCACAGTCTCTCTGCCCTTCCTCGCTCTCTCTGTCTCCATCTGCTCCTCTCCTCCTCTACCTAACTCACTCCTCTCTCTTTCCACTGCTTCCTCCACCTCTATATTTTGTTCTGCCCTCCTGCCTTCGTCTGACCTTCGATGTCCTCATTCATGTAGGAGCTGCTCTGGCTTTTTTCGCCTGGAACACATTGAACATTGATTCCAATGAGTTCTCCGTTTCGTCCTTGTATCTATCAAAGCTGCTGAAGCTAAAATCCCAAACTGTCTTTAACCTTGATTCCTCCCCTTTCTCTCACCTCAAAGGATTTTGACGCTAAAAAAATCTTCTCCCAGAAGCTCAAAAGCTTTTTATCTCCTTCTATGTTACCTTGAGACCTCACTCACCCTGGTTGATAAACCTGGAAATATGACATATATGGAGCAGACAACATGATAGTTTTGTCTACTGATATTAAAGCTGTGAGGTTCCAGCCTTCCAGATCTACTCATTGCTAAAATGCCATCTTACTGGATTAATTCATCTTTGGGAACTTGCTTGACTGTCAGACAGATTTGGGGTAAATACCCCCAACAACCCATCGACCAACTCTGCAATACACTCATATCTGATGCTGTTGTTCTGGTAAAGTAATAAAAGGGGAAAAGACTAAGGTCAAGTTAGTTTCATGAAAAGTGCTATAATTTTCTTTTTTCAGATTGATGACTAGATAGTTGCAGATTACAACTCCATTGCTTCACTCTTCCTT